CACACACACAAACACATACGTACATACGTCAGCACCTTGTGCCACCATCACTCAGCACCGCCTCGCTCCCCTATCTAACCCATAGTGTGTGAAGGGCATCAGGCTGACCTGCATGTGTGCGTGCATGGGTGCGTGCATGTGTGTGTGGCCCCAGCGGAGTCTGATAAGGGGAGGCTATGGGAAGCAGAGACTGAAGCCTTGGATAATGGAAAAGCTTATCTGATCGATGGACCAACAAGGAACACTGAGCATGCAACATACACACACAAACACGTACACACACACACATAACCCGTTTACCAAACTGAGGCCTTGTGGAAACACTGCTGTTATTGGTAATAATTATGACCCGAGGGCATCCACCTTTCAATGACAAAGATTAAACAGAGTATCAAGACTTCCAAGTTCCTGGGCTAAAACTTTTTATTGTTCTGTCTGGGTTCCACATTCACTTAGTAAAGATTCAGGCTCCTGGGTAAAATGCTTAAGGATGAGTTACTGTGGGACTTCCAACAAGAAGACCCTCTGGTTTCTGGTGCTGTCTTGTCCTTGATCAAAGCACCGAGGGGTAAGCAAACAAAGCCAGGCTAAAATTACACATTCTCAGAGCTTCTCATGTTGTGGCATGCAAGTGCGCAGAATAGTCGACTGATTGATGGGCTGCTCTAAGACTGGCGCGGGTGTACAGTATTATCTCAATAATCATAAGATAATGTCTTTCTCAGTTCCGCGACCACCCACTGTGTGCCTCAGCGTGTTCTGGTGTGCACGCCGTCGAGGTGTGTCAACATGAGGATGGTGGAAACAGCTGACAAAGCCCCAATTATATTGCTGCCGTTTCTATTCTCTAAATAGACTGTGGATCATCAGCAGAACATGGTGGAACCACTATAAATTACAGCATTTTTACATAACCACTGGCTGTGGTTGCTGCTCTAACACAAGAATATGGAAACTAACCCAGTGTTAAACTGTAATATTGTATGGCCAGTAGCAAAGCAGCCCTGTCACTATCCATTGAGATGATTTTGTTTGTATGCGTGTGTGTGTGCGTGTGTGTGTGCGCTAGGGAAGAGACACTGTTGGGCTGAGTGTCCACCCACTCCAACCCCAAATAACGCCCCAGTCTAAACCAGCCGCCTTCCCTCCTACCCTCTGACTTTCACATATGGGAGTGAACTGGAAATGCGTGGATGCCAGAAAGGAGGAGTCATGATGGAAATAGGCCAAAATGATGGAGGAGGAGATAGTGGAGAATGGTGGGAGTACGATATAGCGCACACACAAAAAAAAGTCACCTCTTATAGGTCAAAGTACATAAAAACCTAGGGCCCAACAATAAATTGAAAATAAACAAATTTGCCACAATGAACAAAAATGGCTCATGATTCACCAGATCAACAAAAAACAACAAATAACCCCACCGAATCATGCAGACAAACAAAGTCTGAGGAAATAGCATTCGGTGAGTTGTGACTGGCTAGGGCCGGGGTTTTGTGGTGCCTTTTTTTTGCAGGATGCAATTTAAACACACCCTCAGGCTACAGGACTTCATGAATAGGACAGAAAATCAAGAGCAGAGCAGAGCGAAGAAAAGAGGGAGAGAGGAAAGAGGGGAAATGAGATAGTGGCGAGAGAAAGAACAGGAGATGGCGGAGAGGAGAGAGAGAGAGCGAGAGAGAGAGAGAGAGAGAAGAGAAGACGATTTAAGAGGAAAGACGAAAGTGGAAAAAAGGAGAGAAGGGCACAGAGAGTGAGCGAGACCAGTCAACGAATGTCAAACGGGCTTTATAAAATGCATCTTGGAATGCTGTACTTGAACATGTCTGCCTATCACAATGTCAATATGAATTCCCAATAACACACTCACCTCTCCTTGGAAGCTCTTGAGCAAAGGGGCAACCTGTTTCCGTAAATCCTAGAAAAAAAATGAAAAAAAGGAGGTTAGTGAGTCTCAAAAATTAGATAATCAAAGGATCCATTATAATCCTAAAATAATACACAGAGATATGAGGCAGTGATGTTCACAAGCAGTGAAAACTGCTAACAGACCATGTCGTGATCAAATAAGTCACTAATTGAAATCAAGTAACAACCATTCTTGCCAAAGCCAATGAATCATGAGTGATGCGTGAGCGAGTGATGTAGACAGGGGTAAGGAGGAGGCCAGGTTTGTACCCTGAGGTGCTCTGGCGGACTGCGTTTCTCATCAGAACAGGTGCAGCACCACCTGGGCCACCCAGAGGCACCACTAGTGCGTGTAAGACAGAGTGAATGAGCCACAGAGTAGGCCTACAGTTAATGCAAATTGCCTCCGCGCACCTACTATAAAACAAATGCTTTTCACCCTGCAAGTCCCATTGCATGACTTTCCAGTACGAATCAGCGGTTTCAGATTAGATAGCCAGTCAAGTTTGTATCAGGGGAACATGCAAATCACCATGCTGTTAGCTGAGCCTACATCCTGACAAACTGAACTGGAGCGTACGGTAAAAAGCACGGCAGAATAGGACATTCTGTACAGGAACATTTGATTTGCACAGTTTGTGGACACACACATACTCACAAAACTGCCTAATGAAGATGTGAAGTAGGGCAACGACAGATGTGTGCTCGGGAGACTCTGCGCCTTTTAGAAACCTCTGCCTAAAAGCCTAACCGATGCTGCAGGGAGTGCGCATCCCAAACTGACCTGGGACCTGTGTCTGGGGCTGGCCTAATCCCAGGTTGGTCCAGACAGGCCGCTTGTCTGGGGCTGAGGACAGGTCATGACCTCTGTGACCCTGCCCCATTGTTACCTCATCAGGGGTCGTTGTGGCTGTTTGTCTGGGCCAATTCAATATTCCCCTGCTGGGAATAATGACCTCCAGCCCGCCCCTGCCCCTGCCCCTGCCCCCGCCGCCACAACTGCAGCCGCCACAACAGGCATCGCTACCGGCATCGCTACCGGCTTCACCCTGGGGCTCCGACCTGCATCCAGCGCAGGTACCACAGCAACTGCTACAGCCACAGCAATCACTACGACCGCTGCTCCTCCCGTGATGACCTACGCGCAGCTGGAGGGTCTCATTAACAAGTGGAGTCTTGAGCTTGAGGACCAGGAGAGACATTTCTTACAGCAGGCGACTCAGGTGAACGCCTGGGACCGCATGCTGGTGGAGAACGGCGAGAAGATCACGTGTCTGCACAAGGAGATGGAGAAGGTGAAGCTGGACCAGAGGAGGTTGAACCAGGAGCTGGATTTCATCCTGTCCCAGCAGAAGGAGCTGGAGGACTTGCTCTGCCCGCTTGAGGAGTCGGTGAAAGAGCAAAGTGGGACCATCTACATGCAAAACGCAGACGAGGAACGCGAGAGGACGTACAAGCTCGCCGAGAACGTGGACGCACAGCTGAAGAGGATGTCCCAGGACCTGAAGGAGATCATCGAGCACCTGAACACGTCCAGCGGCCCAGCAGATACCAGTGACCCAGTAAGGTTACACCTTCCGTTAAACCTCCCTTCACACGTCCTCGGTGCTTTTGTTGTAATTAAACTTTCTTTCTTTTCTTTTCTTTTCTCTCGCAGCTTCAGCAGATCTGTAAAATCCTCAACACCCACATGGATTCACTTCAGTGGATCGATCAGAACTCGGTTCTTCTGCAGAGGAGAGTCGAGGAGGTGTCCAAATTGTGCGACAACCAGCGCAAAGAGCAGGAGAAAACCTTTCGCTTAACGTTTGACTGATTGACACTCCCATGTATGTTCACATAATGCTAACTGTGGATTTAGGTTTTTTCTTTTTCTTCCAGTAGTCAGAAGGTCTGTTAAACGCTCCAGATGTTTTGGATACATTCATCACAACTCCGGTTGAGTTGCTTTTCCCCCCCTCAGCTGTTAGGGTTGCATAAAGAGTGATATTTTCAATTTAATGGCTTTTATATAGAGTAGAGAATGAATGGTGATCTGTTCCCATGTAAATCCTTTGCTTGTTCTATAATAGTACGATTAAATAAATCTCTTGAGTAAGACTGTTCTATTATTTTAATATTAGTTTTTACTTTTATACAGAGTTGAAATCATTGATTAGTTGATTGACAGAGAATTAACTATCCTGATATTCGACTCATCCTTTAATTATGAGCCAATTCCAGCTTCTCAGACGCATTTTATTACCAAACTAAACTAAAACTAGTAAATAAACTGAAATAAAAATTAAAAACTAGACAAAAATGATCTGAAACAATATTTTGTACTTACAAAACTAAAAATATACAGGAAATTTCTTTAGTTTTATTCTGTCAATTTGGTCAAATTGAACATAAACAAGAGGTATTGGATCAGATATTGAGAATAGTCCACATATAATAATAAAAAGCTGAAACTAATAAAGTCTAAACTAAAACAAACCCTTTGTAAACTAAAACGAGCGCTCTGTAAACTGCTCAGACTTTTCTTTGTCTTATCTGACAGCAAATTTAATATAAGATGTTCCTTTATTGATCCCCCGTAGGAGAAATTAAAATCAGACACGCAGAAAGCACATTAATGTGAAAGTACAAAAAAGAATCACAAAATTATTATAAATATAATAGAAAAATATATTCTATATATTCTTTTATGTAAGATATCTTAATGTTAATGAAACTGCACAGTAAGAATTCAGTTTTTTAAGCGTTTTATTTGACAGTTCAACACGTATTACACATTCACTTTGAATCAAATCTATTAAACATACATTTCAGTTGCTTTTCACCGTCTTCCCTTTGGACTCCTCACATGTAACAGAAACAGCTGGTCTAACGTCAGCGGTGACCTACAGTACAGTGGATGCTACCTGAACGCCGCAGTAGTGAGAAGAGGTGAAGAATAAACTGGTTATTTTACACCTTTAATTATCGTGATAATGTACCTAAATGTCTTTTTTCTTGTTGGAAACTGGACATAAAACAACAACAAACGCACTGATTGACATTCATATTACACTGAGCTGGCTGTACCTTCTTGCATAGACTTTTAGGCTTTTAGTAAGACAGTACAACTCCAGAGAAACAGTAGTAAACTTTGCCCTGCGTAGATCTGCTTCAGGACAGACGTTAGACTCTTTGGCTGCATGAAATTATTTTTTATCAAAAAATAAATATACAGTGTGCAGAAGTATTTAAATATATACAAAACTTACAACATTTCATCGTCTATACAGTGTAAAACCAATTCAAAGACATGAACCCGACTAATTCCTGAAAAGCTTTATCTACAATTTCATTTAAAAATTCATTTAAATCCCCTAATGAACAAAAAAAAAAAGTTCAGTGTGTTCACGAGTAACTTTCATTGTCAACCCAAGTTGTCATCCACTGCTTTTTTTCAAGAGGATCGAGCTTGACGTTCCCGTCTTTATACTCAGGAGTTTCCTTCCTTATCCGCACCGCGTGGTAACGAGGGACGCTGTCCTCTCTCTTGGAGCGTTTGAAGAATCCGCACTGGGAAAGGAGAAGCATTATTATTTTTTTAAATAAGCGAGAAATGTCAGCACATATTCATGCACACTGTAAACAACCGAGGAGAGATGTGCAGGAATGTGAAGCATGCTTTGCAGTTTTCAAAACAGCCAAGCAGTAAAAGAGATGTCAGCAAAAGCACCTGCAGAGCACAGAACCGTTATTGTTTTAAAGAGGGAAATATTAAGCCTGTTGGTGAGAAAATGCATTGATTTCTTGGCAAAATTCAGAGACACATATTGTACAAATACCAGAAACTTCCAACTCTTACACAGAGAACAGCGTCAGTGTTAAATTTAGACTGAAAAGTTTTTTAATATAACGTCAAATGTTCCTTCATCCGCTCAGTACAATATGTGTCTGAATTTTTCTGCATTAAGTCAGCTGATTTGGCTGGAAAAGTGAGTTCATTAGTCAGCGAAGTAATCACACTCCATGCTGACAGCTTGTTTTTTACCCCTGTTCAGAGTATAAATCAGGCCTCAGCAGAGAGTTTGTCTTTGTCAGAGGGCTGAACATGGATCTCTGCCTTGTGATATGCAGCATCGAATTCGTCTTTTGTTGCTCTCTTGAAGAAACCACACTGAATGGAGGGAGGGGGAGCAAGGGTGATGAAGTGTTAAGAGTGACAAACGGAGTCAGTATTATTGGAGTTCATTACACTGTTTCATTCATAAATATCTGGAGTATTGGTGTTCAAATGTCACATTAAATATATTAACCCAGTTCTCATATTTATACAGTCGCCACATATCTCTTGATTCTTTTTCACACAATAATGACCTGAATTAATTTATATACATTACAGTCACTTGTTAGCAGGTTTATATGGAAGGTCATAATTATTTGAATCTCATCAGCAACTATAAATACTTGCTGTTTTTGGGGGATTTTTAAGGAATACAGTTTGACATGTTGGGAAACACATTTATTCTCTTTCTGTCGTTGAGAAGATTAACACCAGTCTTAATACAGAGCCACAAAGTTATCCAGAACATAACTCTGCATAAAATGGCAAAGTAAATATTAAACAAACAAGTGTTAATTCGTGAGCTGTAGAGGGGATGTTAGGCAGGTTTTAGGAGGCCTGTCCTTTAGCTTCATATTTAAAGTACAGACATCAGAGTGGTAGTAAGTGGTGTTGATCTTTATCTCTCAGTAAAGAAGCGTATTTCCTCAAATGTCAAGATCGAACCGTTCCTTTAAATACCACCAACATAGCATTATACATTTTTTAAATGTATGTGGGTTGAATTCCCAAGTTTCCAGCCTTTTCTTCCCCCCAGGATCACGGACCAAGGGTTTAACCGGAGCCTATATATATATATATGTATATGTATATACAGTTACAGCACCATTAAAATGCAGTATTTTTCAGACAGTATGAATTATGAACAAAGCATCTGTTCATTTACTTTACCTTTTATATTTGTTCTAACTGTATTTTGTATTATAAATAATGTGAAACCACAAGTACAACCTTTCACTTAACTTGTTGACTGATGTCCTATTTTTTAAATGTCCAATTAATCACATTAGTGTAACAAAGCCTAGAAACATCAGAATAATGGCTGCCACAGCCCGAGGTGAGGTCTTCAAAATGTCTATTTTGGCAGAACCAAAAAATAGAAAGCTATTCACAATAATATGAAACCATCCTCATTTTTTTCAATTCTGTAACCAGCAAATAAAAACTAGCGAACAAGAAAATCTTTTCTTCAAGTTGTTTTCCTTTTGTACTGTTCACAGACTTCATCTTTTCTTCATTTCCTCAAACGGTTGAATGAAGTTCATGTTCTATTTTCATCCTACATTACCAAACATGGGGTGACATGAAGACATAACCTCCCTGTACTCACCTTATAGAGCAGAAACACCAACAAAGCCAAAATCAAGACGCCTGCGAGAACGGCCACCAGTATGATCCACCAGGGAACTCCACTGTGCTGTGCTACTGCACTTTCTGGGGATACTGTCACTGTCACCTGTGAGGGAAACCAAGAGATCAGGTGAGTTCGGATCAACACAGTAAACAGTTCATCAGTTGTTGCAGCCATCAGTTGTTACTTACATCAGTGTCAGGGGTTTTCAGGATTATGTTTTTAGCCTGAGTTTGAAGGACGAGCGAGGCCCTCACGACAATCAACAAGTGAGAGAGAGAGGCATAATCCTGTGTGGAAACAAAAAACTCAGGTAAGACCCATGAATCCCACCGATGAGACATGTGGAAACAATGAAAGAACAATGTGTTACCTCAATAAAGGTCGAGTTCCAGAGACGAGATCTCAGTTCAACTACTGTACCGTCCAGGCCCTGTAGGGGGCACTTGAGCACCACACATTTGATGTCTCCGTCACATTTCTAGGAAGGAAAGAGTCTATTACACATCAAGCAATACATCCCTTTATAAATGAATGTGAATGTATCCATACAAAGACTCACCAAAACTTTATTTTTGCCGGACAGCAAAGAATTTCTGACAACAGTTTTTCTTTCTCCAATTTCACGTTTGGTCCTGGACGCAGAAGATTCCTGAAAGTTCATTTCTTCTGATTAGTTCTCAGTGAAGGTTTGCTCTAACGGCCTGACTTCTGGCAAATGCTGAAGTATAGGAAATAAAGGTTTAAAAATAGTACCTGGATGTGTTTGAGAGAGTTGATTTCAGACTCAGGAGAGCAAAGGATGTCCTGCGGTCCTGAAGAAGTGACCTTTACCAGGTACAGAAGCCATTTCCCATCTTTGTTCCATTTGGGCCACTGAATGTGTAGTGAGGCTGTGACAGAAGACTTCCACGAGTTGTTTATCTGAGGGGGAAATGACACAACTTGGTTATTTTATATACTAAGACTGTGATTTAATAATCATAAAGAGAAACAGGCGAGTAAACCTACTCTGAATGTATAGGTAATCAAACTTCCAATCTCGTTTTCTGTCTTCATGGCACTTTCACCTTTCACAACGCCTCCAAAAGAAACCTGATTAGGTTTGGCTTCCCTGATGAAAACAAGCAAAACTGTGTATTTCACATACTGTTGGAAGCACAGAGTATTTATCTGTAGTCAAACAATAGTTTAACACACTTACCCAGTGACTGACAATGGCAATTCAATGATTACTTTAGCCTTTATTTTAACAGGGGCAGTATTTTCTTGCTCACTTGTCCTGAAAAGTAAAGTAAAATACTTTTATTATTTTATATATTCCCTTACATTTGCAGAACATGACAGAACACGATGCAGCTGTAGCAGCAGTACTTACGTTTGGAGCTGCAGGTCAATGTCAATCTCCGTGGTGGTGGTAGGATTGATATCCGCAGTGTTGAGGATGATGTAAAACGTAGTCTGGTGCAAAAAAAGGAAAAACGTCTCTCACATTTGAAGCACAACAGCTGATTGTTAGAATGAACATGTGAAACTTACGATAAGTCCGTACCTTTGAGTCTCTCTTAAAAGGATTCCCCAGCTCGCACTCCGCTTGAGAGCCGTTTTGATTTGGGGTACAGATGATCGGCTTTTCAATATGGAAGAAAA